TATATATATATATATATATATATATATATATATATATATATATATATATATATATATATATATATATATATAAATCAAATTCTCCTTCTCTAGTAGTAGGAGAAATAATCTTTAAATAAAAATGACCCAAAAAAAAAGAAAAAAATACATCATTATCCCATGTTTAGGGGAGCAGTTTTAGGAGTTTATGAACTTAGTAATCTAATTAAAAAGTAAAAACCTTGTAATAGTACCATTATCCCACGTTAGGGGAGAAATTTTAGAAATTTATGAACTTAGTAATCTAATTAAAAAATAAGAAGTTCTAAATAATTTTTTTGTTTTCTAAAAGTAGTTGTAACTTTTATAAATAAGTGTTAAAGAAGTTGTACTTTGTGTAAATTCCTCCTCAATAAATGAGTTTGATCCAGAAGTTGGGTCCAAGGATAAAACTAGTGAAACTTCTAAAAATCATTAAAATTTAATTTTTGGCAATAAACTCGAATTTCCGCAAGAGCTCAGTTTGTGAATCGTAAAGAATAGTATAAAAGAGAAAAAAATAAGAATCGATATGTTATTTTGGTAGCAACGAGTATTTAAGTACCTTGAAGTGTTTGTTAATATTAACAGACCTATCTATTCCCAATAGGTCCTTTCCAATAAGCATCTATTAGCGGTCTCTGTATGTAGAGCTTAACCCTACCTTTAAGAAGACAGAGAGCTTGTTTTCGGTTGACCCTCGGCTCAGTAAGGAAAAATAAAGGGTAACAATAAACACACCAATCAGAAAACCGAAGCAGAAGTACAAAACTAATAACAAGTACTTTAATCAGAAAGCCGAAACGAAAGCATAAACAAGGAATAACATCAGTAAAAGAATACAAAACTACACAAATGACACAAACACTAAGTCATGTAGTACAGCTACATTAAACAAATATTTATATTGTTCTAAAAAAGATGACATGTCTCCTCTCTCAAATACTAACACATTAAACACAAACTATTCTAAGAACTTTGAATTAAGAGAGAGAATACAAAAAACTTAAAAAGAAAAAAAAATACCACCCAAAGGATGTGGTTTGCAGCGGATGGAGCTGCTCCCTTAACTAGAGGTCTCGGGTTTGAGCCTTAGGTATGAAAAAATTCTTGGTAGGGCCCTATGCGACACGAATTCAAATATAAAGGCTCCAATGTAAATACCGAATACCGGGTGAAAAACCAAAAAAAGAAAAAAATTAAGCTCCACCAGTGACACTACCATTAAAGATCTCAATAGTGTCGCCTTGAGAAACATGATGCCATCTAAATGAACGATCATCATCCATCACATTTTGCTTATAAATAAAAAAATACCCTTCTTTTGGAAGATCTAATTCCAATTTTTGGTTTAATATTTGTAGCTCTTTTCTCAAGTGTCCCACATTGTCTGACGGATTAACTTCGATAGGAAATTTCTTCGTACCACATTTAGACAAAACCATAATCCTTATTTTCTTCGATCCGTTTATATTATTTCCTGATGATGATCCTGAAGAAGTTGTTGTCGTAGACGCCGCGATATAATTAGGCTTAATTATACTAACATCAATTTCTGAATTATCA